AAAAAAAAAAAAAAAAAAAAAAAAGTAATTTTAATACTGTCTTTAAAACAAGTAGGCATAAGTTAAAAAACTTGAGAAAAACCAATCTCTGCCAAAAATAGAACCAAGGACTAAGGAGAGAGACAGACAGACAGACAGCAGGCTTAACAGCAGCTGGAGGCAACAGGACAAAATGGGGAACACCCACACCTAACTCCTCATGTTATACAGACAGGATGGAGGAACTGTAAAAATGAGTGAAGTAAAAACAGGAAACAAAATAAGGTGGGGCTTCCCATTTTGAACAAATATGAAAACTCAAGCTGCTTACTTGAGTTTCCTGGCTATTGAGGTATGCCTGTGGTTTCTCCCTCTGGTGTGTCATTCATCCTGCCTTGCCCTGGGGGTTAGTGAATTTACTCTCTGGGTGGTGTTTATAAACTGGACTGGGACTGAAACTGCTAGGCCACTGACTGCTGGAGAATACTCTCCCTGGCCCCCTAGCTGGCGGGTAGAAAGCAGAAGTTCAATGTAATAGAGACCAAAATTAGAGAGAGGTCATGACTAGGTACAGTGAGCACAAGCTCTGCAGTCAGTCTGAATCTGGACGCAGCTAATTACCAGCTTGGAATCAGTTATGTTACCCAATCATTCCCAAGTGGTCTCTGAATTGGTGTCTGTCTGAGACACATTTTTCACTAGTCTATAACCAAATGAGAAAAACTAGGATAACTAGTATTGAAATAGGAGGGAAGGGGGCAGGGCACAACCTCTGAAAGAATGACATAGCCCAAGTACATGACATAAACGGATTAGAACCAAATGGGTCCAAGATGGTAGACAGGTCGACTTCCACTAGACCTTGAGCCCCAGTAGAAGCTCGTTGTAACGCATCAGCAAGCTAAATGACAAGCCCACAGGTGCCATGACAGTTCCAAGGCGACCATAAGGATCAAAAAGTAGGCGGTGGCCCAATTCCTGGAAATCCCCGCCCCTTCCTGAAACAGCTGGAATACTCCTCCCACTCATTAGCCTATGAAATTACCCACCACTATAAAAACTGACAACCCCATACCCCGGTGCCTTTCTCACCTTCTGAGATGGCCCACGCTCTGTTTGTGGAGTGCATTTCTCCCAAGGCCTCTCGCCTTCTGAGACGGCGCACACTCCCTCTGCCAAGTGTGTTTCTCTCTAAATAAATCCACTTCTTACCTATCACTTTGTCTCTCACTGAATTCTTTCTGCGATGAGACATCAGGAACCTGAGCTTCATTAAGTCCTGAAACCAGGTGTGTGATCTCAGTTGGAAGACTGTGGGTTTTCCCTGGGTTCGAGTCCTGGCCTCGTGGGTTCAAATCCCAATCTGGGTTTTGGCCAGGTTTGAGTCCCGGCCACATGGGTTCAAGTTCCAATCTGAGGTGCATGGTTTCAGTATAGTTTGGTTTTTTTAATATAACTATATGAATTTTGCAATGAAATACTCAAGTAACGCATGCAGTTATTTTTATTTTATTTTATTTTTTTTAAGTACGTGGGCCTCTCACCGTTGTGGCCTCTCCTGTTGCAGAGCACTCTCAACCACTTCACCACCAGGGAAGCCCCCGTATAGTTTTTCATAATACTAAATTTATTGTCTTCGTTTTCATGTTGTAATTATCTTCCTCCCTTTTTGGTGGTAAAAAAAAATTTTTTTTGTTTTGAAAGGATGGGGATGGTAGGTTGTAGTAGTTTTTTGTTGTTGTTGTTTGTTTGTTTGCGGTACGCGGGCCTCTCACTGCTCCGGACGTGCAGGCTCAGCGGCCATGGCTCACGGGCCCAGCCGCTCCGCGGCATGTGGGATCTTCCCGGACTGGGGCACGAATCCGTGTCCCCTGCATCGGCACGCGGACTCTCAACCACTGCGCCACCAGGGAAGCCCTATGCCTAACTTTTAAATAAGTCTTTATAGCTACCATAAAAGAACCAGATAACAGATTATAAATCATTGCTCACAGTTGATTATTTAAAGGTCCACTATTAGAAGATAACACTAAACATTTTTCCTTTATTTCTGCAAACCATGTAACATAACAACTCAACTAGTTATAGTAGTTACACAATATATATTTACCTATCATTTGTGTAACTACTATAGTGTGTGTATATATATATATATACACACACGCGCACACACATAGCTGTGTATGGGGGGGGTTGTAAGGTAATGACTGTTTCTTCTCTAATTTCCAGAATGCTTGGCAACTAAAGATCAAAACTTAGGAGCACAACACTGCACTTAGCTTTACAGCATGAAGAATGCTTAAGGAGCATACAAGCTTAAGAGGAGGCTGGAGCTATTAAGTTAGATTGCCTGAGTTCGAATCCAGAATTTGCCACGTAAAACCTGTGATCTTGGGTAAGTTACTTAGCCTTTCTAATTTTCATTTGTAACCTGGAGATAATAAAGAGTACCAACCTCAGGGCATTACTTTGAGATAATTCTTGCAGAAAACAGCACTCGGCTCCTGATTAACAGTTAATACGTGCTTCCATGTTATCAGTTGCAACACTAAAAGCAATAACAGTGCTATCAACTGTTTCCTTTTGAAGTGACTGCCACAAACATTAAGAAGGTAAATCAAACAGATATGCGATAACACGTTTTGTAAGGAAGCACTTCTGTTAAGATCTGTTATTTTGATTAAGCTTCTCACCAAACGGAAACGGAAATTTTCTAGAATTATCTTCGGAACCAAGAAAGTCAAATCCAGGACCTCAGTGTAACACCACACAAGCAGAAATGGATTATCACCAGCGTCAAAGAAACACCTGCCAATCCTGGTCCACAGATGTCATTTCACATGAATGGACAGAACCGTTCCAATCTTAGAACTTTCTAGCCTGCAACAAACTTCCTTTAAAGCAACGAACAATCACAACACACAAAATGCCTAACTCCTGCCATTAATTCATCCCTGCAGAAAAAGAGAACTATTAGATAAAGGGATTTGGAGGGACAAAATCGGTCTTTAAGGGGCGCGGGAGTAAAGGGTGTAAGAGATGCTCCTGTTAAGAAAGCCGCAGGGCCTTACTCCAGGTTGGGAAGGGGGGGCGCCCTGGGACGAGCGAGTCTCGACCGGGAAGTCGCGTCCCCAAACCGTGCGCCAGGGAAGAGCCGCCCACGGTCAAACAGGGGGTGCCGAGACCCCACCGTTCCCCACGGTCTCAGCCGGGACTCGACGAACCCCTTCCCTTCACCCCGCCCTCCCATCCGCCAAGCTGGGACCTTGAGGGCCGCAGGCGCGGAGGCCGGCGGCGGGTCCGCGCTCGGCTCCCCGGGCCGGGGTGAGGAGGCCGGCGCCCGGTCCCATCCTGGAACTCCCGCCCGGGCCCCGCCGCGGCAGGCCGCCCGCAGCTGCGAGCCGTGCGGAGCCTTACCCGACGTCTAGCCAGGCGACAGGTGGTGCTGCCGGCGGAGAGGCCGCGGCCCCGCAGCCCACCCGGACGATGCTCAGCTCCGGCCGAGTTCGGCCCTCCCCTTCTCGAGGCTTTCCGGAGCCGGCTCCAGGTCAGGATCGGAATGACTGGGTTGGATGGATACTAGCCGAGGCAACCAGTAAATCCGCGTACTGAGAAGAGGGAACAGGGAGTACAGCCGGCGCGGCCCCATGGGGGGAGACTGACGGGCGCGCAGACCAATACGGAGGCAGAAAGCCAGCGTTAAGGGGCGGGGCTCCGCTTTGAGGTTTTGCGACCGGCGCACCCGCGTTCCAAGCCTCGCAGCACCTTCCTCTGTTTGGTGGCTAGAGGTTTTCATTTAGGGCCAGGTGCCTGCCCTTAAGGGCCCGACCCCAGGGAGTGAGAGAGGGATCGTGTAGGGTGGGGGGAGTCCGGATATAAAGACGAAAACCGCCGCCCCACGAAAAGACCTGGGGCTGGCTACCGCAGACTTCGCCTTCCCGCGGCTGGCGGTATAGTTGGGGGTGATGGCTGCGTTTTCGCGCGAGAGGAGGCTCTGCGCAGGCGCGGGCAAGGCCGGGAATGGGGTGGGGTGGGGCGTGTCGATGGGTACCAGTCTCCGATCCAGAGAAGAGAGGAAGGCTGGGACTTTGGGTCGGTTCTGGACAGCCAGTGGAGGCAGGGAGAGGATTGCAGAGATTTAAGAGCGGGATACACGCCAGGAGAATAGAGAAGCAGAAGAGGGAGGACCCAGGAAATGCGAAGCCTCCGCACTTGAGGAACGCTTTATGCTACTGAGCAATTTTTGTTTGTCTAAGAGTTGCTCTTCTGCCGAATTCTTTGCTACTCTCCACGGTTGCTGACACACTTTGGCCTGCAGGGAATTTACTAATGATCCTTACAATCACAGTCACCATAAATATATATTCAATGTTCCCTCTCAGAAAAGCACTGGAACCCTCAATTGTCATCTTGAAAGCTGCAGGACCGTACCTTAATACATCTATACTCACCCACGGTTATGATATTAGAGGATATTTCTTCATTCTTATTTCAGAAAATGTTATCACCCAAAATTCTTTACTGTAATTGAGTTCGTGTGCTTTTAAAGTATAGTAATAATAGTTTTTAACTAAAAGATGTAAAGGATAAAAAAGGCAAGGCAGGGCTTCCCTGGTGGCGCAGTGGTTGAGAGTCCGCCTGCCGATGCAGGAGACACAGGTTCGTGCCCCGGTCCGGGAAGATCCCACATGCCGCGGAGCGACTGGGCCCGTGAGCCATGGCCGCTGAGCCTGCACGTCCGGAGCCTGTGCTCCGCCACAAGAGAGGCCGCGATAGTGAGAGGCCCGCGCACTGCGATGAAGAGTGGACCCCACTTGCCGCAGCTAGAGAAAGCCCTCGCACAGAAACGAAGACCCAACACAGCCAAAAAATAAATTAATTAATTTTTTTAAAAGTTTAAAAAAAAATCAAAATGGGGTAACTGTGGTTCAGGCATTCAAAATGGAGCCTAGTGGCCATTGTGGATATGGTTTCAGACACATGCCTGCATTACTGAGAACTTGAATTTTCTTTTCTTTTTTTTTTTTTTGCAGTTCGCGGGCCTCTCACTGTTGTGGCCTCTCCCGTTGCGGAGCACAGCCTCTGCATGCGTAGGCTCAGCGGCCATGGCTCACGGGCCCAGCCGCTTCGCGGCATGTGGGATCTTCCCGGACCGGGGCACGAACCCATGTCTCCTGCATCGGTAGGCGGACCCTCAACCACTGTACCACCAGGGAAGCCCTTGAATTTTCTGAACTATAATCAGACTCAAGGACACCACCAGCCCTTCTCAAAACGATGTCTGCTAGCAGCTGCCAGCTGCAACATTACGGTCTCAACGTCTCTCCTGTAACTCTGCCACTATTTCAAACCCCAACCAATCCTTGCTTAATAAGCCCCCTAACTTCTTGCCAGCTCCAATCCTAATTATTGACAAACAACTTATCAACTTTGTGGGTTTTGCCTTTATAAGCCTCCCCCATTTTGTAGTCTGGCAGAACACAATTCAAGTCCTTCTCGAATCTGTGGCTCCGGGCTATAGTCCTCAGCTTGGCACAAATAAAACTCTTTTCTATTCCTATTATGGATTGTTTATTGATTATTTTCATTGCCATTACCATTATATCACCTGAAATAGACTAGATTTGAATTTTGTAATAGAGCTCTAGAGCAGGCATCTTCAAGCATGAGATCTCCTCTTGCATGTCTATTCCGTCCTGTGTCCATGTGATTGGTCAGAGGTCATGGGTGCAGGGCTAACTTTGTGTGATGGTGGGCGAGATAGGCAGGTTGCTAGGGTGAGACGCTTCTGAGGATAACCATTGCACCCCTGCACTGAGCCCTCTCTCCCCAACTGCTGACCGGTTTCCTCTATACCAGGAAATAAGTTTTCATTCAACAACCCTCAGAAATGATGAGAAAGAAAGACAATGAACTCAAAGAGTTCTTGGGTGCCATACCTGTGTTTCTCATTGTCCCCAGCTGTCGGAAATTCACTTTGGAGCCCATCGCTGTCTCTAATCTGTTAAAAAACAAAATTTAACTGAGTAAATTTGAAGATTTAATTGGCTTTATTCATGAATCAGGCAGCATCTCATCTGGCAAACAGAGACATACTCCCAGAAGCGATTACCTCTTAAACTTGGGTTACCTAGAAAGCTCTGTGGAAGAGCACAAGAGCAAATCTTGACTTAGAAAAGTTCCTTAAATAATGTATTACCTACAAATTCACTAACTCTTATCCATAATTCCGGAATCCAGAAGGTTTTTTTCCCCATGATTTTGTAATTTTGGTGGAGCCAGAATTTATTTGGTGACAAATAAGAATTTGTCACAAGGCTGTCTATAGTCTTCATTTCTCCAACATAATGTAAATATTCACGTTTCTCTTCAGTAACAAGAATGTTTTGTGGCACTACCCCAGATCCCACTGAGGAGATTATAAAACATATAGTATATGCCCCTTATAATGTTTTCCCAAATCCCAAAGTTTCTAAATTCTGAAGCCCAACTGGCTCCAAGAACTTCTCCCATTTTTATGAGCCAAAAGTGCAATCCTTCTTATGGCAAAATAAATTAGGGAAAAACTACGTATAGTTCTTAATTTCAGTTTTGCCGGGATTAAGCAGAAAATTTGTTACATAAATACTGTTTATTACAATACTTAAAAAGCTAAATTTATTGTGAGTGAGAAATGATCATGACATTTTACTTGGTGCTGTGAGCACAGAAATGACTGATTGGATGAGTTATGAGAACTTAGCTTTTAAGGAGAAATTTTTGATGAAAAAAGTCAGTAAAGGTTAGCTTTAAGGGGGTTGGCTGGAAAGAGACACAAGGGAACATTCTATATCTCAGTCTGGACACTAGCTATACAAGTGTATACATGTGTAAAAATTCATCAAGTTTGAATGAGGTAATTTACACACCTTACTGCATGAATTTTATACCCACCCCAGTAAATATATAAAGTAAACCATTTGCATTGTGCACTGCTGTTTCTTTTGGAGCAAATGTTCTCTATGGAAACTGTTATGGATCTAATACCTTTCTTCTAGGCTTTCCTCTTTGGTGTCCTCCACTGGACCCTCTAAGAAAAAGGTGGGGACCATTCTTGGCTGCTCAGAATGTAGCTCACCAGGCCTTCTGGAGTTGTCAAAATAGCCATGCAGAAAATACAAAAAAATGCTGAGCCTGGAAAGAAGGCACAAGCATTTCCTGGAAGGATGATTACAAGGCCGGTGATCTGGTAAAACAAGGTGCCAAGGCCCAAATCAACAGGAAACTAGGAGGAAGAAATACGTATTGGGGTAGGTCACTGAACAAACAGAAGCATGTGGGTGTGGAGCAGCCTGTGTGAGTCCTGTGCTGTTGGGAGTTGAGGCCACCCACCATCTCTGGGTTTGCCTTTGGTTGGACTGGTTCACCTGTGAGGTGGGAGGAGCTATAAAGGGGCAGGCTGCTGCTGCACACTTGGCTACCTGACTTCCCTGTAAAACTTCATTAGGCAAAGTTTAAAGAGGTGTGTAGCCAGTTGTCTCGAGATGGGTACACATTTGCCCACTTTCTCAAAATCAAAGAAGGATGCTTGGAAAAACTTTTGTATCAATTGCCATGAAAATAGAGCAGCTTGATTTCTTTCTTTCTTTCTATCTTTTTTTTGTTTGTTTTTTTGCTTGCGGGATCTTAGTTCCCCAAACCAGGGATTGAACCCGGGCCCTGGCAGTGAAAGCACCAAGTCCTAACCACTGGACTGCCAGGTAATTCCCTAGAGCAGCTTGATTTCATCCAAACACCACAATGTGTTTTCCTAAGGGAAAACCATATTATTGATGTTTCAGAGAATTATGGAAGGTGATTCTCTTTGTAATGAGAATATACGTGAGCAGGATCATTGGTTTTAGGTTGGCACATCATCTATCGCTAAAGCAGACTGTGCTAATCACATGTTTTTTTTTTAAGTTAATTTATTTTTGGCCGCATCGAATCTTCATTGCTGTGCGTGGGCTTTAGTTGCAGCGAGCGGGGGCTACTCTTCGTTGCGGTGCGTGAGCTTCTCATTGCAGTGGCTTCTCTTGTTGCGGAGTACGGGCTCTAGGTAAACGGGCTTCAGTAATTGTGGCATGTGGGCTCAGTAGTTGTGGCTCACTGTCTCTAGAGCGCAGGCTCAGTAGTTGTGGCGCACGGGCTTAGTTGCTCCGCGTCATGTGGGATCTTCCCAGACCAGGGCTCGAACACCTGTCCCCTGCATTGGCAGGCTGATTCTTAGCTACTGCACCACCAGGGAAGCCATAATCACATGTTTAGATTTACACAACTCCATCTGCCTTAGAATAGGAAATATGAATAATGAATGCTGACTGCGCTGCTGGGAATTATCCCTCAGTAAATTAGGGTTATTAAAAATGTAAACTCTTTAAAAATACAAGAGAAGTAAACAGTATATCTAAAGGCATTTGTGCTAGACACTCTGCAAAAACAAACTTGTTAGCCTAGTCTGGGGGTGAGACATAAAAACATTTGGTGAAGGTAAGTACTATCATTAAGAAACAACAATGTTTTCATTAT